GTGTGTGTGTGTGTGTGTGTGTTAGGAAAGCCTGTTTTATTTCCTTCTCCTGAGAGTAACGGCTATGTTAAGAAGAGGTCCTATACTGTCCAGGGCTGATGCTTCAGGAAGTGTTTCGGAGTGTGTACTCTGCTTTTGTGTTTTGGCTGCTCTTACCCTCAGTTGATCCTCTGCAGAGTTTCTCCTTGCCTGCAGTGGGGTGTTTGGACTTTGTCCAGTGTGTGGCATTTTAACTAGTTATGCTTTGGTCTCATTGTTAAAATAAGTCTGATCCTATATGCACTAGAGCTGAAGCTTTTCAGCACTCTATGAACAGTAGACTTGGTGTGTGCAAGGGTTTGTGCTGGTCGTCTAGGGTAGGAGCCTGCTGCACTGGTTCTCAGGCACACTTGCCCTAGTCCAGAAGCATCTGCAGAGCACAGGGTGCAGGGCATGGTATAAATGGCTCCAGCCTCCACTGGGGTGCTGTGTTGCTCATGGAAGTCTGTCAGCAGTGCTGATGGGAGAGGGGGAAAATATTATTTCCCTGGCTTTCTCATCCCTGGAGAGGAGCACTCATGCCTGCTGCTGTTCAGGAAGCCCTCACAGAAGAGTGAAGAATCTCCCCTTTGTGTCCCTGGCTTCTATTAGATCCCTGCCTTCATCCTGTGTCCAAGCCAGTCCTGTGTTATACCTCAGGTGCATGCTAGGTTTCAAAACTCCAAATTTTGGGGACTGGCACATTGTGGACTCACACTGATCATCTGGGGGAGGGTCTTACCATGCTGTGGCTGGTGCTAGTTTGTCCCAGAAAAGCAGTTGCACAATCACACAAGGGCTCAGACTACATGGTAAAGCACCGAAAGAAGACAGCACCAAGGTTTGCTACTCTCATCTGATGTCTCTGCTCCTATGTTAATGAACAGGGCAGCACATTGGTGCCTGCCAGCATTTTTGCCTCCTGAGAGGCTGTACCACATCTCCCAAATGCATTCCAAGAGGGGAACTGTCTTTTCCAGTGCAATCCAAAGGATCTCAAACCACACTGTCCACTCCGGGGCCTCTGGCTCCTTCCCCACAGGAGTACCACTATTGCTGCCAGGCTTTACCTGGGGGTGGTGCAGACTCCTAAAACTTCAGACTTTGAGCTTCCCTGCTTGTAAAAACTTGTGATAATCAGCCTCTCTACTTTTCCTAGTCAATGGTTTTGGGGGAATGTTTCTCTTGTGCAATTTCCTGTGTGTCACCTTCTCTCTGTTTCTCTCTCTCTTTCTCCTCTCTCCAAGATCAAGGCTCCCTCCCCTCTGCAACACCCACAGTTCTTTTCTCCCCAGTCATATCTCCACAACTTTTATCTTCCACAGTGTGGCTTCTTTTCTCCCTCTGGTTCTGCAGTTTGTTCTCTCAGCATTCAGATAAATTTCTTGGGTGTTTGGAGTGATTTGGCATTTATATAGCTGTGTTTGAGGGACAAGGAAAGCATAGGACCCCCTACTGCTCCACCATCTTAACTCCTTTTCTGTATGTCCCAGCATTTTCTTTTCTATTTGAACTTTTATTTTGTTAAAAAAAAAACTCAGAAAAATTGCAAAAGCATTACATTAAACACACACATACTCTTCACCTCTATTCACCAATTAGAGTTTGCCATATTTTCTGTATAAGTCTTTTAAATTCTTATGTAGGCTACAGACATTATGACAATTTATTCCAAATATTTTAGCATGTATCATGGAAGTATAGGGATATTCTCTTATATAACCATAGTATAATGATCAAATTCATAAAACTTAATATTTCTCTACTACTAGTAACTAATACACGGACCATGTACAATTTTTGCCAATTATGGCAATAGTATCCTTTATGGAATTTTTTTTTCTGATCCAGTATCCAATCCTGAACCTCAGATTGCTTTTAGATGTTGTGTTTTTTAGATTCATTTTCTCTGGAACACTTCTTCCACCTTCCTTCTTCTTTCATGATATTTAGCATTTTTACATGTACATGTCAGTTGTATTATAGAATGTCCTTTAATTTTGGCTCTTGTATTCTTTTCTGAGGTATTTAATTTTTTCCTATTGACCATATTCAGGTTATAAATTTTATTTTTTTCAGGTTATGCATTTTAGATGGTAATATATTAACATTATTATTTCTTCACTGGTGAATCACATCCAGAGACCCATGATAGGTCCTACGGTTGATGATATTAAATTTTGTTCACCTGGTTAAGGAGGCACTTTAAAAAACTCATATGTTGTATTTGAAATCTCCAAAGCCATATGAAATATCCAAATTTTAGAGATTTTTTAAAAGATATCCTTAGGAGTTGTGATGTCCTAAGTACAAAAGAATACAAGCATCCCTCAGTGGTTCCCTTCAGATCCAAAAAGTTCTCCAAGTTTATAGTTTTGCATGTGAAAACACTAAACCCAATTAGTTCTCAAGGAACTTTGAGGAATGCCAGATTGTAGATATGACTGATCATGGAGTGGTGTGAAGGACCTTCAAGACAAGGGACTGGGAAGCTGAGCTGGTGCTGAGCAGTGTAGATGGAGAATGTGGCCTTGAATTGAAGCCATGGAAGACAGTAAAGATGTTACTCTGAATACAAAAGATCCTTCAGGTCACATTTCCAACTCATAGCACTGAAAGATCTTGTTTTTCCATGGCACAATTCTCAACAGCTGAAGATATTATTTTGCTTTATTAAAAATTAATCTATGCTATTTTCTAGTGACCACGTTTTATGAAGAAGTAGTGAAAGTGTAGTTTGATGTCTGCCTAATGCACTCTTTAATGACAACGTTTATAGAAGCTTTAAGAATTTGTAATGAAGTAATATTATCAATCAATTAAAGCACAATGGAAATTATAATTACAAAAGTAAAATGATATACCTAAGTAGTGTGCAATATGAATTTTCATCTATTGTTCTAGGACATAAAATATGTTCAATTATTTCTCTAAACCAATGGTTTTCAAAGCCCGATTCGTGGACCAATGCCAGTATCAGGATCACTTGGAAAGGTGTTAGAAATTTAAATTCTGGGGCTCTACCCAAAATCTACTGAATCAGAAACTTAGGAGATAGGCCTCACAGTCTGTGTTTTAACAGGTCTGACAGTTAAATCACAGTCTGTGATTCTGATGCAGGCTCAAATTTGAGAATCCTTCCTCTAGACCACTGGCTCTCAGTCACAGGTGACTTTGCCTTCAAGGCACATTTATCAATATCTGCAGACATTTTTAGTTGTCATAACTGGGACAGAAGGTGCTACTGGCATCTAGTGGATGGATGCCAGGGGTGCTACTAAGTATTCTAAAAATGCACAAGACAGCCCTCACCCCACAACAAAGAATTGTCCAGCCTAAAATGTCCATTGTGCCAAGGTTGAGAAACCCTAACTCGCCAAGAAATTAAACCTCAGTCAGTTTCTGAGGGTTGGAGGGACTTCATTCTCAATCTGTAGCCTAATGCCAGGCTTAGGTGGACCAGAAGGAAACAGGTTCTTTTTTTTTTTTTTTTTTTTAATTTTTTTTTTCAACGTTTATTTATTTTTGGGACAGAGAGAGACAGAGCATGAACGGGGGAGGGGCAGAGAGAGAGGGAGACACAGAATCGGAAACAGGCTCCAGGCTCCGAGCCATCAGCCCAGAGCCGACGCGGGGCTCGAACTCACGGACTGCGAGATCGTGACCTGGCTGAAGTCGGACGCTTAACCGACTGCGCCACCCAGGCGCCCCAACAGGTTCTTAATCCAGGTGATTACCTTCATTCCAGTGTTCTCTTTGCTATTTCTTTTGAACTGTTGGGGCAAGGACCCCTCCCAGCTCACCTGTCACCACCAGGAAGAATATCCCTCCACACTCCCAACTAGACTCTCCCATGAGACAATTATCAGAACTTCACAGAATCCAGGCATCCTGAAATAACGTGCCCAGGGCAAGTGGGGGCAATGGGTAACCATGCCCTCCCCATCACCTTCTGTCTCTCTCAGTTAATATCCACTCCCTAGGTCTTGGCACTCCTACTTCTCTCTCTCCATAAACTCACCCATGCACTCTCCATTATGAATCACTTTGTTTCAACCTATACAGTGAAACACAAAATCTTTTTATTGTCTGGGGTTTCAGGTGGGTTTAGGAAGGTCTGCTTTTAGAAACAATATTGAGCCAGGGCACCTGTGTGGCTCAGTTGGTTAAGCATCCAACTTTGGCTCAAGTCATGATCTCACAGTTTGTGAGTTCGAGCCCCGGCGTTGGGCTTGGTGCTGACATCTCAGAGCTTGGATCCTGCTTCGAATTCTAGGTCTCTCTCTCTGCCCCTCCCCACTTGTGCTCTGTCTGTCTGTCTCTCTCAAGAACAAACAAACATGAAAAAAATTTTAGAAACAATATTGAACCATTTTCCCTGGTGTGAGTGTGAGGAGGGGACAGACAGGCTACCATTAAGTCTTTGTCTTATTAACCCTTTCTGCTATATCATGTGTATCACATTTAACCTAATTTCTCCTATGTACTTGTATATATTTAGTGTACCTCTAAAGCAGTAATCAGAGGAAAAGATAATCTCTACAGACCTAATGAGCAGAATATGCTTGCTGAGTACTAAGGAAAAGGCCATAGAAAGAAAGAGGAATAAGTTATAGTGCCCAGGAAATATTACCGTTTCCTGGAAGATTTGGCAGGGCTCTACCAATCCGTGTACTGGGAGTTCTAGGAGAAGCTATTTGGGGCACCAGGTAGCTGATGAAGGAGCATCACAGAGATCCCAGAAGTATGGGAGGCTAAATTCTGTGGGGCCCAGTGAAGGAGTACCTGGGCTGCTTCATAGTGATAAATCTAAAGGAATCCCATCTGCAGTTCGAGTGCAGGGACTGGGGTGGTCTTGCTGACCAATCACACTGCTTCCCTGGAGCCCAAACAGTGCCATTCCTTTACTGATGATCACAGTTATAACTTATTCTTTGTGTCTTCCCAGGCCTATCTGACATGGTCTTCTGTGCAGGGCTGCTTCACAGGGGCACACAGTGCCACTGGTTCCAGCCACAGGGTATGGTGATATGGTCAAGTTTCTTACAAACTTTCTGCATAGTTGTGTTACTCTTGTCAACGTGAGAATATATGGGGAAGCCAAGTTTGTTTAGATAGTGACTATGGGAATAGATGACTTGGGTGATAAGGCCGTGGGCCCGGTACTCAGGCAGGGTACCCGCCATCCGTAACTCTCCTGTCTGGTCCATCAGGTTCCAGGATACAGGCGTCCTCTCAGGCCCCAGCAGGCAGAAGGTGGGGAAGTTCTGGATACAGCGCTCGATGAATCTCTGGCTCCTCTCATTGCCGCCAAAATGCCAGAATTTATTCACCAAGGCAGCGTGGGTAACATCCAGGGAGGAGGGTTTAAACATCTCTTGGCAGCTATGGAGGAAAAGCAAAGTCTGTGAGTATGGAGGTTTTTATTTGTTCTTCCCTCTACTGTTTTGAGAGGCAGAGTAGGTAGAGGAAATAAGAAACACAAAGCCCTGGAGTGTAGGTGAGTTTGTGATGACAAAGGGATGGAAAAGTCCACTGTTGTTGGAATGAGTGAGCAGGAAGAACAGGATAGGTCGAAGAAGCTGGCAGAAATCAGATATATTCCAGATGAGAAAAGAAATGGTGGAGTATTTTAAGCAAAGGAGGAATATGGTATGAATTACATCTTAAGAAAAGATTACTCTGACTGTTTTGAAGAATATTGACAGCAGATGGGCCAGAGTGAAAGCAGGGTGGGAAAATTGGAGGCTGTCTCAGTACTGAGAGCAGTAAGTGATGCAGAGTGATTTGTATCCAACTCACATGGCCTCGGGTTTGCCACTGTTGGGTGATAAGTTCTTTCCCTCCAGCAGGGAAGGAACTAGTTTCTTTATCGTCTCAGCCATCATATAGAGAATGCAATGTGTTTGCTTGACTTGGAAGGATTTAGTAGCTGCAAGATTTTGTATCACCTCATTCAGGCTGGGCTGTGAACCTAGATGGGATTATGAGGAGAGACAATGATTTAATAAGTATATGCTGTGGAGAAGCTCCCCATTGGAGTAGGAAGTGTCTGGGATTTACAGTCAGAGAACCTAGGTTCTGGGCTCAGTGCTGCTGCTGTGTAACCAGAGTCAAGTAGTCAGGATTTGTGCAATTTTCCCTGTTTTATGTAAGGGAAAACATGCCCAGAAATTCATTAAGCCATTGGTGGCAAAGCGAGACTGGAACCAGGTTTTCTGGGCTACATAATCATGTAGTTTTGATAATTAAAGGAGAGAAGTTTTTTTTAAAAAGTAGTAGACAATATCCATTGTGTATTTACTATGTTCCCAGTGTAGTAGATTGTTGCAGTAATGGCCTATATTTGCCCACATCTCCTTGTATCCATTCCTTGGGGTAGTCCTCGTCTGCACTGCATCTGACCTTGGCCATATGATTTGCTTTGGCAATGGGGAAGAATGAACTTGATGCAGAGAGAAGCTTAAAAGTGCTTGCACATCGGGGTTTGCCCTCTCCTTGTGATCTCAATTACTTTTAAACCAATACCATACAAATAGGCCTAGGCTAGCCTGCTGAGGTCAGGTGCTCCTATCATTCCATCACCATGGCAGCCAACGCTGACAGCCAGAACCATCATTCAGACATGTGACTGAGGCCATGTTAGAGCAATCAGGCCATAGTCCACCCATCAACTGATGGCAATTGCATGAGTAAGCCCAAGAGACACCAGCAGAACTGCCTTGCAAAGCCTAATACAAACTGTAGATTCACAGAATTATGCAGCAAAAGTCAACTACACATCCAGGTATTATAGTAAGAAATCCCTATTCAAGATTTAATTTAATCTTTTCAATGCCCCTGTGTTCTAGGAACTATTGTTATCCTCATTTATGTATATGAAAGTCATGGTCTCCAAGAGGATAAGTCATGTGGCTAGGATCACATAGCAAGTAACAGGCAGATGCCATCCTAGGGAGTCTGACTCGGGGCAGGGGGCATATCCACACCATGACAGTTGTCCTTTATGATCTGGGAGGTGCTTTATGGCACAAGTCATCATTCTCATTCCAGGAATGGAAGACCTTGGGTGAAGCCCTCCTTTGGTACCCAGTTACCCTAAGGGATCCTGCATATGTCTACAAAATATGCCATAAATCGTTGGCTCTCCAGGAATTATATTATGTTCCCCTATATGAAGCCCATTTTTTGCAAGCTTTGAAGGTGTTTTTTTCTCCCTTTATGAGGGAGTTAAAAAATTGGCAGCAGGCTGAGGGTCTGGAGCTTGGGGGCAGGAGATATGAGTCATAGGGAAAATTGTTCAGGACAGAGAAGTGAGTCCGCACCCATCCCATTTCTCTTACTTTGGATCTGCAAATGCTGTTTCCAGTTGATGACTTCTGGTGAGACAAGACATTTCTGACAGTTCTTGAGGTCCTTGGAGTAGATTTGGTAAGTATTGGTGTAGTGATCAAGATCATCTGTCATCTCCTATGATCATTGGGAAAAGGGAGATAAAACAAATTACTTATATTTCACTATTGCAATACTTTTTCTAAATTCCACTATACTGTGAGTTTTTAACATTGAAATATTGTTGACACACAATGTTACAATAGTTTCAGGTGTACAATATAGGGATTCAACAAGTCTATACTTTATGCTGTGCTCACAATTATAGCTACCATCTGTCACCATATAACACTATTACACCACCACTGACTATATTCCCTATGCTCTACCTTTTATAGCATGAGTTATTCATGCTGTAACAGGAAGCCTGTATCTCCCACTACCCTTCACCCATTTTGCCCATCCCTCTGCCCTCTTCCTTCTGGCAACCACCAGTTTGTTCTGTGTATTTATGGGTCTGTTTCTGATTTTTGTTTGTTCATTTGTTTCTTAGATTCCACATATGAGGGAAATCATACAGTATTTGTCTTTCTCTGTCTGACTTATTTTACTTTGCATAACACCCTCTAGGTCCATCCATGTTGTCATAGATGGCAAGATCTCATTCTTTTTACGGCTGAGTAATACTCCATTGTGTGTGTGTGTGTGTGTGTGAGTGTGTACACACTACATCTTCTTTATCCATTTTTCTATTGGTGGACATTTGGGTTGCTTCCACATCTTGGCTATTGTAAATAATGCTATAAACATAGGGGTGCATATATTTTTTCAAATTTGTGTTTTTGTTTTCTTTGGGCAAATACCCGGTAGTAGAACTATTGGGTCGTATGGTATTTCTAGTTTTAATTTTTTTTCTATTTTTTTTTCTTTTAGAGAGAGAGCACAAGCAGGGGAAAGGGGCAGAGGGAGAGAGAGAATCCTGAGCAGGCTCCATGCTGAGCATGGAGCCCCATGTGGGACTCGATCCCACGACCCTGGGATCTTGACCTCAACTGAAATCAAGAGTCAAACCCTCATCTGACTGAACCACCCACATGCCCCTCTATTTTTAATTTTTTTTGAAAAACATCCTTACTGTTTTCCACAGTGACTATACCAATTTACATTTCCACCAACAGTGCACAAGGGTTCCTTTTTCTCCACATCCTCACCGACACTTGTTTTTTGTCTTTTTGACTATAGCCATTCTGACAGCTGTAAGGTGATACCTCATTATGGTTTTGATTTGTATTTCCCTGGTGATTAGTAATGTTGAGGATCCTTCATGTTTCTGGGCTATGTGTATGTCTTTTTTGGGAAAATATCTAATTCATGTTGTCCTATTTTTTTCTTTTCTTTTTTAAATTGTATTTAATTTATTTTTTAAATTTACATCCAAGTTAGTTAGTTTATAGTGCAACAATGATTTCAGGAGTAGATTCCTTAATGCCCTTTACCCATTTAGCCTATCACTACTCCCACATCCCCTC